GTAGTTTTAGACTGGGCCGCGATATGAGAAATGCTCATACATAGAAGCTCCTTCTGTAACTTTCTACGTCGCACCGTACTTGGGTTTAAAGAACGCCGGCGGAAGTTTCGCGAGCACGTCCACAAGCGGTCGCTCGACGATGACGAGCTCGGCCGGGCCAATAAAGTCCGCAAAGAGGATGGGCCGGTAGTGCGTCACGAGCTTGAAGTTGTCCTGCTGGAATGTTGGCATGCCATCCGCGTCTTGCTGGCCCGCGACATACCTCGGCGCAGGCTTGGCGGCACCCCAGCGGCGCTTCCTGTCAAAGTTGCCGAAGCCGACGCCCGCGTCGAGCTGCACACGGCAGAGCCACGTCGCACCCCAGAACAGTGCGCTCCCGCGTTGGGCCGGCGCGTCGAACGCCACTCCGAGCACCGGGTCGTGCAGGTGCGTAAAGCGGCGCGGGAGCGCGGCCGTCAGTGCGCGCGCCCATGCGGGGAACGTGCGGCTCTCGACGTCGTACACATGGATCGTGTTGTTCGCGAGGCCGAGTACGAGTGTGCTTGGCGACGCGCGGTCGAAGGCGAGCGCGTGCGTGAGCTGTGGGAAGGACGGCAGCACGCAGTGGTATTGCACCGAGTCGAGGTTGAAGACGTGTGTCCGACGGTGGTCGTCGGATGTCGCGAGCCATTGGCCGTCCGGACTGACGGCCATGCGTGTCACGGTGGCGATAACCGGTTTTGGCGGGTCGATGTCTTCATCACTCTCGTCCGCGTCCTCTGCATTCTGGTCCTGCATCTCAACATCCCCCGCCCCATGGCTCCGTTGCCGACCCTTTATAACGCGCTCGCCAAGGACAATGTTTTGCATACGGTGATGCTCGAACCGTCTTAGAACGCGAGGCTTTTCGGAAGCAAGGTCGATTATGAGGATATAAGACGAGATAGCTGACGCCATGACAAGTTTTCTGCTGTCCGGGGTAAAGACGAAGCAGGACGCGCCTGTTGATGCTGGCGTTGATGGAACATGCGGCCGTAAGATAGAAGCCAAGTCTCGTATGCGCTTAGGTTTGAGCTGTCCGTTCGGCTAGTAGGATTAGAGTGAGCGACACAGGCATGACGTAAGAGAACAGATACTGCGTACCAGCTTCTCCATACGAAACAACTTTGATTCGTACCAATCCGAAATGGCAACCCACTCGCCGTCATCCGAAATAGCGCTCGCCACGATATTTGTGTCTACCATTAAATCCAGGTCAATCACTGGCTCCCATCCGCCCTCCGCGTGCGGCGGTTCCTCCGCACCATCATCGCCGTACGAAAGCGTCTGCTTGGGACGGATCCGCCAAATGCTCGCGCCTGTATCCCGCTGGCACAGCAACAGCCGCGCCTGACGCGCGAGATGTACGGCGGACGAGTTGTACGGACCGGAGCTGTACGCTAGTCGCCGCTGATACGAATCTTCAAAGGTGGCGACTTGACTCGTGTCGAGCGGGTTGACGACCTTCGTGATTGTGCTTGTGGGTAACGCGGCTGGTGCTACGACGACAGACATGTCGAGACCGCCAGAAGCGATGACGGGGGCAACATCGAGAGGGAATCGACGGCGGTGTGAGGGGGGAAGCGGGGAATATGGTGGCCAGATGGCGAGAGCACGGACGTCATGCGAGTGTAACCGGCGAGCTACTGACTGGATCCACCGGGTTGACGAGCGGGACAAAATAGAAGACTGTTCGGTGCTTGTAGTCTTGATGCTATGGAACTCTACGACCTTTTGGTCGACGCCAGAGGTATACACCGCCGTGCCTTCCTAGTCAATGAGTCAGCGGCACGTTCCTGGTTCTGAGCTGTCTCAAGCTTACAGGATTGATGGTAAGGCAAAGAACATCTGCGCCGTGCGCTTGGAAGCTCTGCAGTTGTGTCCCTGTTCTTGAGTCCCAGAACTTGACCATGCCTAGCGAGTCTCCAGAGACAATAGTGCCATCACTAGAAGAACGTTAGCATATATGCACCTGCATGGTTATAATTGCTCACCCAAACACACCGATGGACCAGACCAATGTTCGCTCTCCTCTCATTTTGTCTGTTCCCATTCGCTCACACACCCGTCCTGTCGCGACATCCCACCTCCGCACACTGCTGTCTGAGCACCCTGCCGCAATCCACGTATCGTTCCAGTCATCGTCATCGTCATCATCTTCATCCGTATCCCTGGGCTGCCCTGTCGAAGAGGACTGCCTGGGTATTGGCGGGCCCCATGCGATGCTAAGAATTCTACTCTTTGCTCGGTCAAGCCTCCGGACGTGTTGCAGCGTGCCGTGCTCGACCGAGAGAAGACGGATGGCGCCGTCTTCGCATCCGATTGCGAGTATAGTGGAAGCAGGGTTCGGTGAGATGCACCATATTGAGCCGCCTTGCGATGGGATGGTTTTCTGGATCAAGGGTCAGAGGGAGTATAAACGAGGTTGATTAAGTAACTACCTTGATGCAAGCGCAATCGACATCCCACTCTGCAAGTTCACTCCCTCCACCTGCACTGAAGAGGCGGAGGTCCGAGAGAACTGGTGTCTCATCAGGCGAGACCTCGTATGGGTTGCGCAGGACAAACGCCAAAGAGTCCACTCTAGATGGACATGGTCCTGCAATTGTCTGCAGCACTTTTTAAGCTTCGCAAAAGCCTGACAGATTTTCCACACGCACCTTCTTCACCACCCAGGCCTGTGGCGCCTGCAGTTCGTTTTCCGACCCTGTCCATTCGCATATCTCAATATTACCGTTTGCACGACCCACAGCAAGATTCGCGAACTTCAGTGCATGTCTCACGACGGCGGCCTTCTTCCCCTTGGGCGAGGGCAGGGACAGTGGGGGGAATGCGAGCGCCGTTACGCCTGCCGGGGTGAAGTCCACGAACCGGCATCGGTGTACGGAGAGCGTTTTGGCTTCGACCATGTATTGGAACCGCAAAGGGCCGTCAGAGCTAATTTTTGTTTCTCTCGTGCACGGGAGGATGGGGAAATGACCGTGCGCGGGCGACCTGTGAGGTCTTTGAGGAGGACCAAAGTTTTTGATCGAGCCAAATGCGGCAGGAAGCGCGTCTGTGTGGACGCGCTTCGCCTCGTTCACACCCGACCAGGTTCACGGTTCAGCTCCTCGGTTACTCTTCATATTTTACGAGTCTCCTTACTCGAAAACAACCATAAAATGTCTTTCCTTGGTGGTCGTGGCAATACACCAGCTGGCTCCGTCAACCCGGAGCGCGTCGAGATGGCCATGCAAGAGTGCGTACGCGCTCAACCTTGGATTATTGCGAGCATGCCGAACTGACGTTCGCTCATAGGCTTGACATGATTACGGACGTCTTCAACAAGCTCGTCTCGTGAGTTCATACTAATAGTCCAGTTCATTCACGCTCAACCCGCGACGCCGCGCTAGGTCATGTCACACCAAATGCGTCAGCACACGATACGCGGAAGGAGACTTGAACAAGG